CTAATTATAGCCACGTTAGTAATTGCGCATGCGCCGTAGTCAGAACGCAAGGCTTCCACCATTCGCCGGCGAGTTACGTGCAGCCAACGCCTTCTCTAATACATAGAGTAGGTCGTGGTACAACAAACAAGACTATATCTATATTTGTCACAATAACCATATTAAACACGATTTCTATTTTCTGTTTTTTTTTCAAACAATTTTTTAATGGGCTGGAGGGGGGGGGGGGCATCAAGGAGGACTATCTCGACGTCGGCGCAGACATTGACTGCGACATTAACTTCATTAACCGAGTAAGACACGTGCGATTTCTTTTGTTGTGCCGTTTCATTAATATATCTGGAGTATCTGTCTATGAGAAAACAATTGCCTGCGGTTTTGAGTAGTGTTATAATCGGGACACAGTAGTAGGGACACACATCTCTAATAGATCAGTTCTCTTTTCGTTACTCCGATGAAGTGTCTGCATAGTCGAATGGTTAGAACACTGGGTTCCTGTGCGGGAGACCTGGGTTCGAATCCGCAGTAGTTAATTTTTTTTACCCTGGACTAAAATAATATCCTCATCTGCTCTGTCGTGGTGACAGCACTAGCCATGTTGCCCTTAATACTAAAAAGAATTTTTAAAAAAAGACAAGTAAATGGGTAAACCATTTGATAATTAAATTGGCCATTTCGCACACTTATGATTGCATTTTTAAACTTTCCGATTGCATGGTTACGCTGAAATTTCATAGCTTTCCATTTATTTTCATTTAGATTTAGTTATTTCATCTGCGTTGGAATTTTAAGCTGTGCTGTTTACCATAGCGCTCATTTCCTAATTATGGTGTTTTTTTCCTGTTTTCATTTGCTTTTCAAGTTTTTTTTTCTCCTAACTACTTCAATGAGGGAAAGAGTTGTCGGTGAATTTTTTTTTTGGGGGGGGGGGGGGGGGGGGGGGGGGGGGGGGGGGGGGGGGGGGGGGGGGGGGGGAGGGGGGGGGGGGGGGGGGGGGGGGGGGGGGGGGGGGGGGGGGGGGGGGGGGGACTGTTAACTGATAGAGCTTTACCCAACTTAAAGTAGCAACAGCAGTAATAGTTGTGGTTGGGCTGTTACACCGTAGTGCTCTCACGTGAAGACCGCCGGTAAGGTTATGGCGTTCTTCTGTCGGGAAGCGAAATTATACATTCTAACCTGACCAGTCTGTGGCGACAGCACTAGCCATGCGGAACCAAATCTTCTGGCTCACGACTCTCTGTCTACTCAATTCCTGCTCCCCATTTTAGTCCGGATGAAACGGATGTCAATATCAGTTACAGCAACACACAAAAATATCGCCAGGTAATGATTTTCAAATCCTTCGAAGAGGGAGAGAGCAGCAGCCGGTGGAAGAAGGGAGGGGAGGGGGTAATGACTTAGATTTAAGAGAACTTAAAGAGCTTTACACGTGATTTTCTAGTTCTCATTACCTAATTTGTTTATATTTTACTAACGCTACCTCCGCTTTTCTATTTTTTTACGACTTACTTTGTTATTTACAAGTACAGTTGTAGCTTTACTTCCGTCTCCTATAAAAATACAAACAGCTTTAGTATGTGATAACCAAATAACCATTTTTGTGACTGTGCTAATAACACCATTTAAACGACCACTAATATAAAGACACAATTATAAGGTGCGTGTTCTAAAGTTGGAAAACCAGACTATCTCTATATCTGTGCAAAGAATGATTGCGACATTAACTATATTAGACACGTGCGATTTCCATTGTCTTTCTTTTCCAAAAACCTTTGATGAGGGAGAGAGTAGTAGGTGGATTTAGTTGTGGTGGTGAGGAGGGGGGGGTGGTGCGGATCAAAGACTATCTCTATATCTGAGCAGACAATGATTGTATTAGACACGTGCGATTTCTATTTTCTTTCATTTTTATTTAGCCAAACTATGCCACAGCAACGCGTGGCCGGGTACAGCTAGTTCCTTATGAATGTCACTTTTCTGGCTTGCCTTTTTTGGTCTATTAATGAGATTTACAGTCAACGCTATTGGCTGAGTTCGTGACTGTTGTAGCAGAGCTGGGTTTTTTCAAAAAAAATCCTATTGGCAAGCCCTGGGCTGAACTCTGAAGTCAAGCATGAAAGAGCTGACATCTCCAAGAGTAAGAGAACATTTAAATACTAACGTAATGGCAAATACAGTACCTGAAATGAAGACAAGCAGGACACAGTAATTGGGAACAAAACGCCATCGCTGTCAGTCAGGAATAATTGTGCGAGCGGATCCTGCTAGTTACATTCGCCATGAGCTGTAAGTCCCATGCCTCCCATGGGAGACTTTTTTTTTTTGGTTTCTTGCAATAACGTTCGCTACTTGGAAGGCGACGGCCGCTTAGTCGGAGTTTAGTCCCCTGGCTGCAGTGCAAATACGGAGTGGACCTAACCCTAGCCCTAATTATGTCATTTGTATCGTTCCCTCTTTTCTACTCTGTAATTGCACTGCAGCCAGGGGACTGAACTCCGACTAAGCGGCCGTTGCTGTGCCAACTAGCGACCATTATTGCAAGGAGAGCCCTTTTTTTAAATGCTAGCGGATCTCATGCCTCTCCATAGCACCATCGTCAGGAAAGTCTGAAGGATGCCAACAACAAAAGTGTCTCCACTCCAGAACAACAAGGTTAAGCTATTTTAGCAACTCTTAGTTCTCCATTGTGCATATGTCTGAAACAAATATCACCATAAACTTACATTTTCTCCTGCTTGTTTTTATTTTAGTGTCACTTACACAGACAAGGAAGAAGGGCCTGGAGATGAAACAGATACTAATAGAAAAGGTAAGAAGTTGATCCGTTTTATTTCAATGGCTACGTACACATTCTCTTTGTATTCCGTATTTGTGGGGTTGACCGTTGAGTTAACCACATGTGTCAACTCCTTTCCACCCAAAAAATGGTTGACACATTTCCGTTTCTGGGAACAGCGTTTCTCTCCAGTTTGCTTTCTAGATGGTTTGTGGTCCCCTGCTCATGAGATTCTGTCTTTCTGTGTAGTGGACCACCATGATCAAAACATTGCCAGAACAGTGCTGGAGGCTGCCAAAACTATTGCTTCCACATGGCACGATTATTATTTAATAATACTACAACACTGCTCCCACAAAAAGTACAATATATCCTGCATTGGGAGCCTGCACAAAATAGCAGCTCGTGGTGAGGGCACAGATTCATCCCAGAGAAATCATAGCCAGCAAAAAAATTACTAGGTCACCGCTTTCTTGAAAATGGAACTTATTGATGGGTTTGATAGGTGGTATATCACCATCAAGAAAGGAATACCCTACCAGTTTGTAAATAGCCTGTAGTTTTATTCATTAGGCCCATAGAACTGTTAGTGAGTCACTGTGTTACTGTTGACTGCCATGTTATCACATCACAATTGGCATTACTGCAAACTGGGCATTCCTATGCATTCCCAGTCCTTCGATGCAACAGCCGCCCCAGGGTAACTCTACTGGTAGCATCCCCCGTCTTTACTTCGAAGGCCCCGTGTGGGTTCAGGGGCCACATTTCAGGGTTTCCTTTAATAATTTCTAGCCTTCAAATGCACAACAAATTGTTGGAGTATGGCATCTTAAATTAAATATATTTCAAATGTCCTTTTCATATAATTGTGATAAACAGATTGTGTAATCTTGTCTTTGTGTATAATAAATCTAGGAATATAAAAAAGTGAGGACACAGGATAAGCATTTCATAAGAGTCGACTAACTGGGAGCATGTTGAGTGCATCTGCCACAAAGGCAAGGAACTAACAGTCTGCTTACAAACTAAATCGGCTCTACTGGCAAATCCGGACGAAGAATAAACAGCCTTGGACGACTTAGTCAGAGTTCTCTCCCATCGCCGCACTCCAAACAGTGATCGGAAAATCCACAACGAAACAAAGAAGACAGTCATGTCGACATCAGGGCTGCCAATGCTTAGTTGTTTCCCCCAGATCTGGTTTTTTTTTCGAAGCTGCAGGACAATTCTGGGTGTGTTTTTTTGGGTGTGTTTTGTTTGTTGGTGTTTGCTGATTTGTATGCTTTAATGATCAATAAATTTGCGTGGTTAGGGGGGTAGGGGTTAGGGAGTAGGATTAGGGTTAGCGGTTGGGTTAGGATTAGCGTTAGATTTGACAATTTTGACGCCGGAGTTCCCTATAATCGCGCACAGTCCCATACACACAAACAAACAATAGAGGGCCTCTGGATGATGGTCACACGCACAATTCGCCAACGATTAGGGGCACCAGCCGCACGCTATTGGTGTCATATTTGGCAGAGTTTCAGTGGCGCCAATCCCACAAACATCACATTGTCGGCCAGTATTTCGAAATCCTACGTCAAAATTTTCACATCTAACCCTACCCCTAACTCTAATCCAACAACCGCATGATGATGACTACACAACCATTCACAACGCCTCACGCAACCGTACGCAACTGTGCACGCAACCATATGATGATGCCATGATGTCTCACGCAACCGTAGGCAGCCCTACACGCAACCGCAGGATGATAGGTAAGTGTGTCGTTTGTTTAGTTTGTTTTCCGATTACTGTTCGGAGTGCGGCGACGGGAGATAACTCTGACTAAGTCGTCCAAGTCTGTTTATTCTTCGTCCGGATTTGCCAGTAGAGCCACTAAATCTGTAAAATAAAAGTGTACAAGTACAAACAACCAGAACTTGCTGCCGTAGTTTCAGCTGGTAAACATAAGAAAGAAGAAAGTGGCTAATAGAAAATAGCTTAGAGGCATAAAAAGCAGTACTTCATTTTGATCAATTTGAAGTAGGAATTCATGTGTGTGCATTTAGTATATGGTAAAGTGACAGATAGAAGCCCTGAAATTTACTTATGTGACAGTTTGAGTAGGCTATGCATTCATTAAGGAAAGCTATTTTTAAACTTTTCTTTATTGATGTGCTTGCAGATTAGAGAGACAGCTGACCAGTATGCCAACATCTTTACATTCTCCATTTACAACATGAGAAATGATCAGCTAAAGGAGATTCGTCAAGAGTGGAGTCACAGCAGGTGAAGCATGTTTAAAATACAAATATGTTCTTCTCGCACACAGTAGCGATAGACAAATAATAAATATATCCTTAATGTAAACTATGGTAATAGATATATAACATCTAATTAAGGATTCAGCTTCACTGCAGTCAGGTTTCTTCATACTTGTTCCGTTCCTATGCCAGAGACAGATAAAATTTCCCTCACTGTCTCATTTGAAAAAACTGGTGAACAATTAGTTCCAGAACAAACCAGAAATATGTGAACATAATAAATGCATATGGCACTTGCTAGAGATGCCAAAGCCAACAGTCACCACCAGAAATGCAGTTTGTCATTGTTGGAGGTAGTCCAGCATGATAAGTTGGCTATACACACATATAATATTACATACAGTATTTCACCAGGTTACAGGCAAACTGGCTACTGGCCATATTGAATATCACGACACAACAGCTGCTAAAATTAAAGGGATTCCAATCAAAAAGCTCACCAGAATCCAGAAGTGGACGAACGGTCAGGCCTTTCTGCTAAGGTTCACAGCTAGCAAATACGTAGACATTAATTATATACAAACATTCACAGAATGAAATATAACGATTTCTTCCTTTTTATTCTGTGTGAATGCAGGTTCTTCTTTGGAAAGAACAAAATTATGCAGATCGCTCTGGGCAGGATGGAGGATGGGGAGCACAGAGAGAATCTTTCCAAGCTGATGTGGCAATTGCAAGGGCAAACTGGTCTTCTTTTTACAAATAAAGGAGAAAAGGAAGTTTTACAGTATGTTTAACGTTATTGTGTTTCTTTGGTTTTCTTTTGTTGTTTGAGCTTAATGTAAGTAACCTACATTATACTGATAATGTAGTTTTAATTACTAAACACAGCATATGGGTGTCAACTGGTCTATAAAATATAGGTCTAGCCCTACATGCCCAGTACACCTGAAGACGTGGAAAAGGGTCCCTTACTTTAGCAAACATAGGTTAATTTTAATGTCTGTACAAACTATGGTGCCATTTCAATGGTTTGAGATGAACTCTGTCTCTATTCCTTAGTTGTAGATTTCAGGCTGTGCGATAGACATAGCCAATTAAGACATTTTGTTGGGTGCCTATTTAGTCATGTTGTTGGTACACATGCCATTTGGAGATGATCGGTTCGATTCCCAGCACAGTAACTATATCTTGATTTTTATGTCGTCTAGTGTGTCCTTCTGTTTTTTATGGGTCCCAATCAATATATTATCTGTTTATTGTTTTATTTATGTATATGTACACAGATATTTTTTCCAGTCTGCCATACCGCTTAACATGACTAAAATATTTCAGCTTCCAAGACAAGATCTGGTTATTAGCAAAAGTTCCTTGATGTTCAAATCTTTTAAAATGCCAGTATTTCTTCCTCTCTTCTTTGTTCAAGGTATTCTGAGTCTTTCTATAGCATTTACATTCATATATAGACTTTAAAATATCCATAGCAGCAAAGCTTCTGATGTAGAATACATATCTAGTACAGTTTTTACTCCACTGCTTGTGTTGGAAGATCATTCTACCAGTTCTAGTTACATTCATCGCAACACATCTGACTGCCAGCATATGTCTAATTAGTCAACTTTTATGTATATTGTTAACCCTTCACCCCGGGGATTATTATTAAAGTTTTTTTCAAGGCTACAATTTCATTGGGGCTCCCCACCAAAAATGAGTACAACGGTTTTCACACGTCACTAATAAATTGTAATAAAATGTAGAGTTATGACCTTTGCCCTGTGTGCCGCTCTAGGCTCCAGAAGAAAGACTAAAATAATAAATTTGCTAAAAATGTATTTATTATTGCAAATTATTTGTCAATTTATGTAAAGATATATAAAAGAAGTAATCGGTAAAAATTATTAGGGTAAAGCATCAAACGGATTACCCCCCATCCCGGGTATTGAAAAAACATGTATTGGGTAAATCATTGTCATGACTGTGATCTCTACCACTGAGGTATTTCAGGAGCAGAACCCACAGACACAATTTAAAATATTGTTTTGTAAATAATTTGATATATGTCTGTTATCAGATACTTTGACCAGCTGTACATACCCAACTATGCCCGATCTGGAACAGTGGCAGCGCAGACAGTGGAGCTGGAGGAGGGTCCTATACCAGAATTTTCACACTCGCTCGAGTCACAGTTGAGGCAGTTAGGACTACCCGTACAGTTGAAGAGAGGTACTTGAAGTGTGGAATTAATTTCATTATGTTAAAAAGTGAGTACGATGCAGAGGGACTGAACCACACATGGTGCAGGACCAGGGCTCGTACTGGTCAAGATCTGTTCTACGCATTAGTGGTCATTCGTGAATTTTGGGTTCTGGAGCTCCATTTTGGTGAACAGAGAATAAACCCACTGTCCATTCCACCCAACAAGCATGTCGTAGGAGGTGTCTAATTATGGATGTTTCCTTTAAATCAGAGTGCATATGCCTGAAAGGCAAAGAACCAAGAGTCTGCATACAGCTGAGTCAGATTTGTAAACCTGATGTGAATGCAACACTCGTGACCAAAGTCCTAGAGTGGACAACCATAACTTTCCACTGGGGTTACAGCTGGTGAATGCTAAGGAATACCATCTAGAATCGCACTGACATCTAGTGCCTCTAACAAACTGTCAAAAATTTATGAAAGACTCTGTGGTTGGCAGGGAATGCTCTTGTTCTGCCCCTGCTTTCTCTTGAGGGCTGACCAGTGTTACTTGGCTGCTCTGGACCAAACTGAATGGGTGGCAATACCTGTGACCTAGGAAACTAAGATGACTACATAAAGTGAGACTACAGTGTCCCTAAAAATTAGCATGGTAGGCTAACCTGGTCAACAAATGCAAATATCGCAGCCATATTGTAAATGGGCACAACACATTTACATCCTCAGAGGAAGGCACAAAATCAATAAAATTTAACAGTATTCAAGTAGTGATCGCTAAATCTTCTCTAAAGACAAATTAGCTGTAAATCAAATGTTTTTTACTGCTTGTTTTTCTAATTTTAAAACTCTTTTTTGGTTATTTTATAGTAATAATCGATCTTTGCACTAGTTTATATTTAGTGATGGCTGTTTAAAATATTTTATTTTATGGTCTTTGTATTGTTGTTTTATAATCATGTATTCGGAATAAAACTGAAAACTATATTACTCAGGAGTTGTACAAATGCAGAGAGGTCACACAGTCTGTGAAAAGGGACAAGTTTTGAATCCCGAACAATGTAGGATTTTGGTAAGTTTTTGCAGTTAACTATTTTCAGGTATTTTAGTTAGATTTTCAGAGTTATTTTTAAATAATGGAACTAGCATATTTGGATATGTTTCAAATGTTCTGTCATTCAATCGTATTAATTTAATGTTCATAGTTGCTGTCTATTATACACTTAGAGGCAGACAATAACAACCATACACTGTTGTGTGGTTAGTGAAATATGCTTTTCAGGTCACAGTTGAGTTGAGCTGTTACAATTATGACATGTGTATGCATCATGTTCTCTAGCCACTGGGAAGCGGCAGTTACCGCCTCTACCTCCATTCTCATGCTAGATGTTGTCACATCATATGCTAAGCTATCCTGCACTAAAGATTTTCCACTGCCTTTGCTACGAATCCTCGGGTACTTCTCTTCCCTCTCAACACTTATTAATAAACTTTATTTATCAAGTTAAACCAGTTGTTGCTGATTATTTAAAACCAAGGTAGTCTTCAGTTTTACATTTTTTTAAATTTTAGCCCAGAATTAAATTACCCGTAAATCTTAAACCAGCTTCTACCCACTTGTTTTCAGATGTATCCAGATATATGATCAAATTTCACCTGTTCTTTAGCAAAGTATCACAATTTTGTGGAGTACTGTTTTTTGGGACTCATGATGTGACTAAGCTATTCTACTTCTAATCATTTCTAGTATGAGGATTTGAGTGGCAAGGCGGTCAGTGTTGCCACACTATTCTGAATGATGTGGACTCATTTCCTGATCAAAATGTTCCTCTGTTTAGCAAATAAAAAAATTTTATTTTAATAATTTCCGATTACCGGTATGATGTGTGGCCAGGCATTTGGAAAACTTGTACCATATGGGATCAAACTAGAGCTAATTTTGTCATTTTCTCCCTATTTAACCCTCTCTAAGACATGACCAAACCATTTTATCTCTTGTCTTTTTTACCCTATGACCAATTTTTTCTTCCTATATAATAGCCTTAAACTGACATGTCACATTAGTATTTTATTTATTTCTTCTTTTTTTATTTTACAGAAATTATTTGGTCATCAGATGTCCAACTTCCACATCACTATTCAATGTATGGTCACAAAATCTGGTCAATGGAAAACGTTTAACAACAGCCCAGAACCTATTGTCCCAGATAGAGTCAAGGTTAAACGTAAGTATATTGTTCATATATGTTGCTAAAAATATTATAAAATATTATTTAAGTGTGTGTATATATATTATATATACACACACATGTATATATATATCAAATGTACGGAAACATATATGTACTTGCGTGCAAACTTCAACTGCTCCAACATGCTGAGAGAAGAAATACAATCTAGAAATAAAGTATACTATGCCCTTCAACATCTGCTAAAGTGTCTGTCTTGCAATACCAAGATCAAAATATATAAAACATTGATAAGACCAGTCGTTTTATATGGCTCTGAAACTTGAAGCAGAAATAAAAGAGATGAGGCCTCATTACAGGTTTTCAAGAACAGTCTTACGACAAATCTTACCCATCGAAGATGCTAACAACGGGGAATATAGGGTGAGAAGCAACAACCTAACACATAATCTGTTCAAATCACCATTGATTACTGGCATCATGAGAGCTAACAGACTACAATGTCTGGGGCATATTTAAAAAATGTCAGATGACAAGTAAAAACTGTATACACCCGAGAATGGGCGTAGACCACGAGGCAGACAAAAAAAAGAAGTTCGAGAGATAATGTCCAGCTACACCTGCAAACAACTGGTGTCACAAATTGTGAAGAGAAGGCCAGAGAGATGAATAAAGATGAGTGATATCCGCAGCAGTGAACCTCAAGGGCTCAGAATGCTATAAAAAAGATGACTGTTCTGTGCTACTTTATGTGAAGTAAAAGTTCAGCGTACATTTGACATTATAAATTTTTTTTAGATATGTTTTATACACTATTCCTATTCATATTCGGCCGAATAGTTGGTCCTGCTATTCGTATTCATCCGAATAGTAAAAATCACTATTTGGTACAGCCTTAATATATACATATATACATGTATTTTTATTGCTATCAAATAGCACAGATCCAGTGACGTATAAAATAATTTATATATGGTCTCTAACTTATCTTTGTCTCCACCACTGCCCTGTTTGTAGGCCTAGTGGAAATCGGGGTCTAACTAATACCTTATATTTATTATCCCATCTTCTACTTCTATCCTATCATCTTAAACATAGGGGCCTATTCAAGAGATCTCTCCCTACTCTGATGCCGCAAGGCATTCAAGTAGTAGATAAGAAGTTGACCATATGATTGTAGTTTAAAAGCATTTACAATATCTAAACTTAAATCTAATTTTATTTTCAGCCAAGAAAGAAGACAAAGATGAAAATGATCATAGTTCTGCCAAGATAAAAGACAGTGAAGGTGAAGAAGACGAAGAATTTTGATAACACTTTAAAAATAAATTTAACATAATTTTATTGTTAATTTCTCAGCTGTTGTTAGTATACCTTTTTTTCAAATTTAGTTCACATTTAATTGCTATCAAATAGCACATATCCAGTGACTTATAAAAGAAATAGTGTGAATATAACAAGGAAGGAAAGGGCCATGCCATTGTAAAAACTAAATTTGTCTCTGTAAATAAAATGTAACCCTGACAATACTGTTGATAAATGATACTTGTCTTGTAAAATACAATGTGAATATGTTTTGTGTGCATAAAGACTTTGTTTTTGACATACATAATGAATTATATTTCTAATTTATGAATGCCTTGTAAGTAATCATGTATGCATTGTTGAATATAGGTACTGAATTGTATATTGCTAAAAAATTAAACAAACTGAAAAGAAACTTGCTACAATAAACAAACATATAAACTGTTATACGGCTTCTGATTGTATGTTTTATTCAGTGCTGTCTGTTGCAAGGGAGAGGTAATTTCTAAACAACTATAGGGGAGGAGACTCACAAAGGATGATGATAGTGTTATAGGAGAGAGGGGAAGCCTACACATGTATAGAAGGGAACCCATGGTGAAACCACCAACTGACAGACGATGTCTAGAATAGGAGAGATACAGCTAGGACCCCACCTGAACAAAGAGGAGGATGCTAGGGATATAGACAGAGCTAGAGAGAGAAAGATTGGCCTACACATAACTACAATGACAAAGGAAAACAGGACACCTTTATCTGGAGGAATAACCCCAGACCAACACGCAGCAATTTCTATTACTATAGGTTTGCAAAGGGATGCTCCTCAAACCCCTGACTACTTACTTTATGCGTTTAAAAAAACCTGAGACAGTCCTACACCAAGGAGTGAACCGGGGTTATAGAAAGACAACAGAAGACGAACACCAGTTACACTGTTTTTTAATCTATATATTTAAAAATCAATGTTTGTTTGTCACCTATAGGCTCGGACCCGATTTAGCTGAAATTTTCAGGATTTTTTTTTGTTTTGATACCGGAATACTGCCTGTCATAGTCATTAATTGCACAAACTGGAAGCTTTGAAATAAACTGAATGAGGGGGAAAATGGTAGAGCAGTGGTGAAATGGAAAAATAATTTCAATTAAATATAAGGTTAGCCTGTAAGGGTAAAAACGGAAGATGTGAACTAGCGTCATCGCACACGGTTATAAACCATAAGTGCTCTGCCACCATTACAGACAGCTGCTAAGAAACTGTCCGCCTGTCTCTGTCCGCAAGTAACTCCATAGCTACAGCCACATTCCTCCATTTACACAAGAGTGTTAACTCTAGTACCCATAACCTAGAGGGAGGGTGAACCCTAGGATCCACCCGGTTTCGAACACCGGTCCTGGCTGCAGCGAGTCCCAGCTGGATTTGAAAGTGAGCTTCCTATCGACTGCGCTAGCGCGGCCTGTTTTATATATGTATTTACACACATATATACTTGCATTTAAGGTTCTCCAGGCAGCCTGGTGTAGCAAAACTATACCAAAAGATTGGGAGATTGCCATCATTATACCTATATTTAAAAAAGGTGATAACAAACAATGTGAAAACCACAGAGGCATATCCCTCCTCAGCATTCCAGGTAAAAGTTACTCTAGAATTCTTGAGCAGAGACTTAGAAGTCTGGTAGAGCCACAGCTGGACGAGGCCCAATGCGGCTTCAGAGCAAACCGAAGTACTCAAGACCTTATCTTCACACTGAGACAGATGAGTAAAAAAGCCCTGGAATATAAGAGTGAGATGCACTTATGTTTTTTGGATCTGGAAAAGGCATTTGACAAGGTGCTCTGGGACTGCTTGGCAGGGAAAAACATCCCAGCACCCCTGATCAGTGCAATACAGAGTTTCTACAAAAGGTGCAGAAATTATGTAAGAACAGCAGACCAAAATTCAGAAGAATTCAAGACCGCCAGCGGTGTTAGACAAGGTGATATTCTCTCACCTTACCTCTTCATTCTTATGATGGATGATGTCATCAAGACCTGTAAGGAGAAGACAAAGAAGTACTGGAAGATGAGACCAATCTGTATATCAGAGCTGGCTTTTGCAGATGATGTGGCCCTGATAGCTAAATCAGAGGCACACCTTCAGTCCAACTTACTTGTTTGAAAGGAAGAGTTTGAAAAGAAAGGTATGACCATCAGTATCTCCAAAACTAAAACCATGGTGATCTCAAGAGAGGAGAAGAAACACCAGATCATGATGGGACAGTATGCATTGGAGCAGGTTAACCAGTTCAAATACCTTGGAGTTGTACTTGACCAAAACGGAGGCATTAAGACTGAGCTGGCTATGCGAAAAGCAGCTGCTGGGAGACTCTTCCAGGCCATAAACTGATTGGTTTTTTTTTTAAAAAAACCGTCACTTCAAGTTTTGCGAAAAAAACAACCCAAATAACAGTTTGTCATTGTTGAAACTTGACGCGACTCTTTTCTGAAGAACCGGGCACAGTTTTTTTTCTTCATTGTGAAAAAGGTACTACAATTTTCATATTTTGTCGTTTTGTGTATATTTTTGCTTAACGTTATT